GCTGATGTGTAGAGGCTGGTGTAGCAGCGATGTGGTGAGCATGGAGCAGGCAGAAGGAATGAACGCTGCCTCAGTTATAAAGCACGCTAAGTGGGTGGGCTGGACTTGAGCAGTGAACGATTGGACAGAAAGGGACTTGTGACACCCTGACTCCAGGCCTGTCTGAACTAACGCATTAGCTCTATTTCAGACAGGACACTTTGTCAGATTTACCCATTTATTTAAAATGACATGCATTCGAGTTTGGCGGTGACTCTGCTGGAGTGATGCTCTGGAACAATCTGAGCAAGCATGACATGGATCGTCCCTGAGATCACAAACCCCAAAACCGCGTTTCCAAGGGGAGAAGATTATCAGAATCACCTCAGAATGAAATGGACTTTGAGAAAATTAGCCTATGTGTAGCAACAAGTGTGTCACATTTCCTTTGAATTTGTGCAGCGTGCACAACCATCACATCTGGATGCAGAGGGTCAGCGCATGCTGAATGCACACAGATGATCATCTGGCAAGGCACTATTACAGCGACCTGATACAAAGGAAATATACTATGAGAGAGACCATGTGCATTTTCTTTGAATTGTGCGGCCGTACTCAGTTATAAAGTACGCTAAGTGGGTGGGCTGGACTTGAGCAGTGAATGATTGGACAGAAAGGACCATGTGACGTCCTGACTCCGTGCCTGTCTGAACTAACACATTAGCTCTATAACAGTTACTTGGAGTCAAATTTACACATTCCTTAGTATTAAACCTCCTGTGCTTTCAGCTTGTGTTTAAGTACTGAAGAAGAGCAGCTGTTACAGTTTGAGGAGCGATGACGGCTTAATGGTGCAAATTCTAGCATATAAAATATCAGGACAGACTAATGAGTAAGAGTATTTATGCAAAGAGAGGCAGGTGACGAGATTAGATGTGCATATCTTTAAATATATCAGCCGATGCTCAGAGATACGTACTGCCTTAATCCCTGTTAGTTCATCAGATGAATCCCAAAAGCTTCAGTAAAATGCAACGGGACTTCTGGCTTCTTCGGTTCTAACTGCTTGGTGGGGAGTCTTAGATGTTTATTGTCGTCCCCAAATGGCTAAACGCTTATTAACAAGCCAGAACAAACAGGCATCAAGGTGTGAATGATCTCAAGACTGCATTATAACTACCTGATAATTGTTGCCGCAGAGACTATTAACTGTATAACAAACCATCTACACTGACATCATCAGATAAATGTCACATCTCTTCAAAAAATATCTTCTGTCAAAAAAAAAAACTAAAATTGGATTTTTTTATTTAAAAAAAGCCAGTATCTGAGGTTGTAAATTGTGTGCCTCCAGCACTGTGTGCAATATCATGTGAACACTTTGAGGGAATTTCTTCAAATGTGGCACAAACATTCACTTGAGTTGTGGTGGAATAGTCAAAGAAATTCAGCTCCATGTCTTTCCTTAGATCCTTTTTCTTGTCGTCAATGCAAAACATCAAGGAAAGATGTTTCATGAGGACTATCCAGCTACAATAACACTATGTACTGATGCAGCGGTGGATGTTGTTGATGTGTGTGTACAGTATAGTCTCCCTTCTATTCGTAAAAGATGGTCCAGTGTATCCTGTGCTAAAGGTGACAAGAAGAAGGAAGCATTAAAGCCCTTTCTATTAGCATTTAAAGGCTTTAACCCACTCTGTCATGGCTGCCAAGGATGAACTGATCAAAGTTTTGTGGTCAAAGGTCACCGCGATCTCACAAAACACATTTTCAGCTGTAACTCAAGAATTCATACGCCAATTACTAAAAAACATTCACACAAATGTCTAATCGGGTGAACCGACAGAGTGATGACATTTTATATGCAAAAGGTCAGCGTCACCGTGGCACCGTAATGTTCCGCAAAAATGCTTTTCTGGCCGTTATTCGAGACCATAACTCAGGAACAGAGTGGAAGACTGTGACTGTATTTCACATGCGGTCAGATACTGAATTTGTGGCTCTACTCTTGGGTGTCCATCTATGAATTTCTTTTAAATTCTTCACCTCATACTGTATATTGTATGAAAGACAAGGATGTAAACTGCAACTTCACTGGTTTACCGAAGCATAAAACCTGTTTTTTACTTCCAGTTTTCTTTATATTTCTGCCTCCACGAGATCTAAGTTTTGGACAAAACAGAGACTGCTTCTTAGATGTCACATGCTCATACAGTGATTGTTCCACAAGGCTGTGCAATAACAACACATGATAAAACATTCCTTACACATTTTTTTTTTTATTCAGTGGAAGATTAAGAAACCGAGTTCGTAAGAGTACAAATTAAGAGAATAAAGGCCTGCAGTGTGACAGCAGCCTCACGCAAACACTCATTTTTTGATATTTTAATTATTCTATTTCAAGAGAGCCTTGCTCATCTGCCAAAGAGCTACATTCTGACACTTGGTGGGAGGTTGTATGGGACCCCTGTGATGTGTCTGAGGGGCTGGCACACAGATTGTGTTTGTAGACGCCAGAAATTCACTGGGACTTGGATTGTGACCAGGAGTTTCATTTTCCTACATGGTGTGAAACAAGAGACGGAGAGGAGAGTTGGAGGGGCAGAACAAATCGGTACAAACTGACAGAGGTGTCACTGTGGTGTATTGCTGTCCACCCGCCTCCAGGTACTCCTAAAGAACATGTCCACGGTCTCCATCCCGGCGGTCATGGACCCGCTGGCGTTTGAGAGCGTGCTGAGCTGCGCCTACACCGGTCAGCTCCGGATGCTGCGCGACGACATCGTCAACTACCTCACGGTGGGCAGCGTCCTGCAGATGTGGCACATCGTGGACAAGTGCACCGAGCTGCTGAAGGAGGGCCGAGCTGCTGTGGCGGGAGGAAGCGGCGGAGGAGGTGGAGGAGGAGGAGGAGGTGGCGGTGTGCAGGACGGAGCGGGTGGAGGCGGAGGGTCAGCCAACCCCGGGTGCAGCAGCAGCAACGGAGATGGCGGTGCAGGTGGCGGTAACGGAGCTGGAGGCAACAGTGGTGCAGGTCAAGTCCAGGTCACAGAGTCCAACGAGCCCCAGCGAGCCTCCCAGCCCCCCAGCCGCCCCTCGGTGAGCGAGAGCCAGAGTCCCAGCAGCACCAACTACTTCAGCCCCAGAGACGGCAGCGGTTTCGGGGGAAGCGGAGCGGCCGCAGCTGGAGCTTCGGTGGACGGAGGCGCGGCGAGCAACACCCCCAGCTACTGCACGCCTTCAGGAGGGGAGGAAGCCTTCCTTATCGAGGAGGAGGAGGAGGAGGTGGAGGAGGAAGAGGAGGAGGTGTTGTACCACCAGAGGAAGAGAGGAAGAGGAGGTGGCAGCGGGAGGAGGAAGAAGATGAGCTCGGTGTCGGAGCAGGAAGTCGGGGTCAGCGACAGCTTCGGCGTGTCGTCCTATCAGGTGAGCAACCTTTAATTCACCAAAACTTTCATGAAGCTTCACAATCATTCTGGAAATCAACTTTGTTTTCATGTTTTGTCTCTCAGTAATCAATAGTGTCGTTTTTAGATTGATTATTTTATTTATGTTTACTATATTACGAAAAAGGCACGTCTGTCTCCAAAAAACGTGTCCAAAATAATAACACTAGTTAGTTTAAGTACCAAAACTTATAACACCGTTACGATAATGTCCAGAATTAACATCATTGTAGGGTCTTACCTCAATATGTATTACAGGCCAGTACAGTAGCATATCGTGTACTTGTTGGAGGGTTAATCCCTCATATGTAAATTACTCTGGTATAATCACAACCTGAATAACACTACAGGGTCTTAACTGTAATGTGGAGTCTTGTTACCTTTGTAATACTATTTATAATCATTTTTACTGGCAGTGTCCTCGCTGTGCAACAAACAATGATGTCTTTAAAAAAAAGTTTGTTTCTATTTGACATTTGCCTTGTTGTAAAGCACTGTGTAACTTTTCTCTCAAAGTGCTTTATAAATAAATGATCATTATTACTTTATTAATCTCCAAAGGGTGTGTAACCGCAGCAATTTGCACATCACAGAACACGAGTAGAAAGCACTATTTAAAAGCATGTATAATAGATTATAAAAAACTAATAATAAAAAAGAATATTAAAAGTGTAGAATATGATAAGTTAGACCTCTCGCAGTGCAAATCAAAGTTGAAAGTGTAAAGTCCCTCAGAAGATTGTACATTCCTGCTACGGACAGCAATTACCTTCAGCAGCGTTTCTTACTAAAGCACAGTTAAAGATGCCTCCAACTGTTTCCCCCATTGCAAATATGAAAACTCTACAGGTGTTATTTGACAGGAGTTAGTTTGTTTGGGCCCTGTGATAGACTGGTGACCTGTCCAGGGTGTCCCCTGCTTTCGCCCTAAGTCGGCTGGGATAGACTCCAGCCCCCCATGACCCTAGTGAGGATTAAGCGGTGTATAGACAATGGATGGATGGATGGATAGTTTGTTTAGTCTATACTTATTATTGTCATACTATGAGTAAATTTAATCTGATTCTAATTGTGTTGTTGTTCTGAAACAAACTTCTGAAAATCCAAAATTTTCATCCAGTTGTTTCAATTAAAGGCAACCAGACTTTTCTTTTCCTTTGGGTTTTTGAAGACGTTCCACCTCATATCCGAGACTCCTGAGGAAGCTTCTTGCATGAGAAGTGAAACAACTTCAGGAAACAAAAAGAAAAGTCCAGTTGCCTTTGATTAATGCACTGAGGATTACAATGTCCTGGATGACTGAGAATCTACACAGACACAAAGTTTTCACCTCCAACAAATAACTGATATGCAACGTTTACTGTTCGTAACATGAAATATCTCCACTGAAAGGACGGAGAGGACTCCGCCTTGCCTCTGCAGAAGCGTCCCACCTACAGCCAGCCCAGCATCATGCCCCGTAAACAGTGGGTGGTGGTGAAAACCGAGCGCACAGAGGACGACGACCTCATCGTGGTGTCGGGGGAGGAGGGAGGAGAAGACGAGGAGGACGAGGAGGAGAGGGAGATGGAGCTGGCACGAGAGAGGGACCGGAGCGACTTCAACATCTCCAACGTCAGGAGCCTTTCAGCCGAGCTGGGGGGCAGAGCTGAGAGCGACATGGACTCTCAGGTGAGCTGGAAGTACCTCCAGGGCCACTCTGGGATTAGAGCATCAAAGCAGCCTGATGGCAGCTTTGTCTGTTGGGAGAAAAATTAGACGAATCTGGTGGAAACTGGTGCTGTTTCTGTGTTTATACGACTCCTAAAGGACGGCAAAGTTTCAAAATTTCAAATTGGACACAAACAACAAGTGCAGTTTAGCAATTTAGCAGCATCTGTCTGTCTGCGGGTGAAATGATCTTTCTTTAATGCTTTTCTTTTCTTTTATTCTTTTATTAATTCTTTAATGCTTTAAAATTTAGCAAAATCAGATTCTACAGGTCAGTTTTTTATTCAGTACGTTGCATAAAAACCCTTTTCGTCTGTCTGTAGGTGGATTACTGCCAGTCTTCAGAAGACTACCTCAAGTTTGAAGGAAGTCTAATGGAACAGACATTAGCTCAGCACCTTCATGACAGCGCTGCGGGTCAGAGCCAGAACGCTAACCGTGCTGTTTCGGCGCTGCTGGGTCAGGTTCAGTCTGCAGCCACGGCCCGGGCCCAGCTCTTTCCACTGGACATGCAGGGGAACCAGATCCTCCTCTACAGCCAGGCCTCCGGACTCTCCCTGGACGCCGCCGCACCCCCTCTGGGGATGGCAGGTGGTATGATCGGAGGAGGCTCTTTTAAAGGACCCGGTCTGGAGCACGGTGCGGTCCACCTGTCAGTACAGGGGGGTTTGGGGGTCGATGGCACTGACAGCGGGGGGATGGGAGGTGGAAGTGGGTGCGGTGGCAGCAGCAGCTCCGGGAGTTCAGGGAAAGTGTTCATGTGCCACTGTGGGAAGACCTTCACCCACAAGAGCATGAGGGACCGCCACATTAACATGCACCTGGACCTGAGGCCCTTCCACTGCCCCGTCTGCGCCAAGAAGTTCAAGATGAAGCATCACCTCACGGAGCACATGAAGACGCACACGGGCCTGAAGCCGTACGACTGCCTCGGCTGCGGGAAGAAGTTCATGTGGCGCGACAGCTTCATGCGGCATCGGTCGCACTGCGAGAGGCGCAGCGGGCTGGGGGAGGGCGGCGAGGGCGGGGGCAGCAGCGACGGAGGCCGGAGGGGAGGAGGAGAGGATGGGTCCGATTTGATTTCCTCCCCTCACCTCCTCCTGTCTGCAGGCGAAGGCGCACAGAGCGGCATCCTGGGAGGAGGAACGAGGGGGGGAGCGTCTGTTTCGGCTTCACACCTTTCTGCTGCTGTTCTGTCACCGCAGCACGCCGGCGTGTCGGCTGCAGGAGGCGGCGGCAGCAGCAACAGCGTGAGTAACAGCAGCAGTGCTGCTCTGAGCAACAACATTTCTGCATCGGGGGCCCTTCTCGGGGTCTCTCCGGGTCCGGGCCAGGGTCCGGGATCTGGGATGTTCGGGGGTCTAGGGTTGGGTCGGAGTGTCTGTGATGAAGACGTGTGTGAAGTCAGTGCCAATGAAAGTAGCGTGACTTAAACCAAAAGTGTGTGTTACATCCAGCGGGCGCCTCTGTCCGAGCAAACCGTCGTGCTTCTGGTTCCTGCTGCTGTTTTGAAAATTTTGTGAACTCGGAAGTGTTTCAAGCAGACAGTGTGCTTTGTCCAGAAAACAGGCGAGGCTCCCGTTGGACACACAACCTGAAGGACCTGTAATGTTTACAGAAAAATGACACTTTGAGATTCCAGTCGACTGTTGTGGCGTGAAGTTTCTGAAACAGACTTGTGGTTTTGCTGATGCCATCTCACAGAGACTTTAGGAAACTTGCCTCCGAAACGTGGCCTCATAAAAATGGACGTTTAGTCTCTGAGTAAGCTATTGTTTCAAATATCTGAGACGTTGTTAGAGTTTATTTTTTTGGTTTTGTGGAGAGGAAACAAAAAATGACAGAGCTTCACTTACTGTTACCTTCCGTGGCAACATTATAATATCAGTAGAGTAGAAAAAATGGCTGTTCTAAATTGCTGTGATTTTCTGCAGTATTGTATTGTGACACATTTCTGTAATCGGATCAAAAACGCAAATCTGCAAAACAAATTAGAAATGAAGAAAAAGATTCCATTCATGTGGTGTTATTTTTCTAAATAGGCACAAGGACTTTAATAGATTTGGTGAAACTCACTCGGCTGACTTAATCAAACTCTTCTGAATGGAGACAAAGCAGAGAAGTTGCAGACTTGTGTGTTGTTTTCTTGAATTTCCTCACAGCAGCAGTGATACATCTTTTTCCTGCCTCGGTGTCACGTGTAACAAACTTAACTGTCAGCACTGCCAAGTTGTTTTAAGTGATCCTGGTTGTGCTTTTGTTGAAGCTCGTCCTGCGTTACAGTTGAGACACAGTTATTTATCCTCAGCACTGACCGACCTCAGTCACGTCCACGGGGACGGACGTTTGCCAGACAGGAACTCTTTGGTCTTTTGGCTGCTTATTTATTCGTCTCTACCAACCTGTACAGCTAATTAGCTTGAGCCTTATTCAGACGTGGTTTTCAAAACTTGATGTTTGGTTGTTGTAGCAAAAGCTAGATCTGTTAATCTTTATACCTTTATGGTTCAGCTCTGCATAATCAGCCACGACATTAAAACCACCTGCCTACCAGAGGACCTTAGAGGAGGCGCTGCCAGTGGATCGTTTAGATCTTGTAGATTGCAGGGTGAAGCCTCCACCAATCTCCCGAATGCATGATCAGATGTGGATTTGGGGAGTTTGGAGACTGGGTCAAGAACACCTCGGGCTCTTGTTCGTGTTCCTCGAGCTGTTCCTGAGCAGGTTTTGGGGCGTGTTAGGGCTGCTGCTGTCAGTGCTGTTATTATGTGTTCAGGCTTTTTCTGAGAAGACTAGACGAACAGATTGAGATCAAGTTGAGACTTCAGTGTTCATGTCTTTGGAACAACTTTTATTCCTTTAAAATACAAAATTGACCTACTGGAGGACCTTAGAGGAGGTGCTGCCAGCAGATCATTTAGATCTTGTAGATAGCAGGGTGAAGCCTCCACCAATCCCCCGAATGCATGATCAGATGTGGATTTGGGGAGTTTAGAGACCGGGTCAACAACACCTCAGGCTCTTGTTCATGTTCCTCGAGCTGTTCCTGAGCAGGTTTTGGGGCGTGTTAGGGCTGCTGCTGTCAGTGCTGTTATTATGTGTTCAGGCTTTTTCTGAGAAGACTAGACGAACAGATTGAGATCAAATTGAGACTTCAGTGTTCATGTCTTTGGAACAACAACTTTTATTCCTTTAAAATACAAAATTGACCTACTGGAGGACCTTAGAGGAGGCGCTGCCAGCAGATAATTTAGATCTTGTTGATAGCAGGGTGAAGCCTCCACCAATCCTCCGAATGCACAATTGGACGTGGATTTGGGGAGTTTGGAGACCGGGTCAACAACACCTCGGGCTCTTGTTCGTGTTCCTCAAGCTGTTCCTGAGCAGGTTTTGAGGTGTGTTAGGGTTGCTGCTGTTAGTACTGTTATTATGTGTTCATGTGCTTCGTCTGCAGCAGCGTTTACATGAGTGTCAAAGTAACATCCACACGAAAGCAGGACCAAATGTTTAGCAGCAGGACATTCAGTGCGACGAGATGTTTCTGGTGGTTTTAATGTTGTGGCTGATCGCTGTGAACTCGACCTGTAACTGATAAGCTCATAACTTCCCCTCTGCAGCTTTTACAGCAGGAGGTGGCTGATTTACAGTTTTGCTGCTGCTTTCACTTTCTTACTTTGATGTTCACAGAGTTTTTGCGCTTCGAGGAGTATTTTAATCACCACTGTAAATATATAGAAATATATGTCATTTACTCATCAGACCCGCGATGGAGTTTAACCGCTGCTGCCGCCTGGTCTGCTTTTAATCAGTTGTAGAGGAAATATGTGAAAGTGTTCTCCACTGGGTTCTCCGTTGCATCGTTTCAGCTGATCGAGAAGCATCACAGTGGTCTTATTAAAGCTATACAGGATACCTCCTCTGAATGGGTGACAGAGTAGATTTAGTTTTGGACCCAAATAAAAAGAAAACCTCATTTTTCAGTAGCACACAAAGTAGTCGCGTGATTTTTCCAATACATTTCCATTATTTCCACTGGTGTCGTTTTATTTTTTTTTTCTTCTTCTTGCAATATTTTCAAAAGCATCATTGAGCCGCACAGGTCCTGACCTCCCAGAAGTTTGTAAATGTTCAGAGAGTTTATGTGTCCTGTCACGTTATGTGCAGGACTTATCGTGTCTGTGAGGAAGATATTTTATAATGAAACAGTGGAAGCTTTCATATGAAGTAGATGATCTGGTTGGACTTTGAAGCATCTTTCTGATTAAATTTCGATAATAATGAGTGACTTCCCAAAAAATAATCACTTAAAGTTGAAATTGATGCCCCATATGTTAGTGTATTGTTTTTTTAATGAGCTAATTGGATTAATTAGGAGGAAAATGATTGTTGTTCTTATGTAGTAGATGATCTGATTCGATTTTAATGTGCCTTGCTGCATAAATTTTCACATTAACGAAGAAGAAAATCATTTTTCGAGGCTTCTGTTGGCCGTCTTGGAGCAAACGTGTCCTTTTGTCACCATGGTGGAACATGTAGTCGGATTAAAGTGGTGTTTTTCTCCACCTGGATTCAGCAGCAGTAAGTTTTAGTTTTGTTCAGCGCTGAAGGGAAGGCGGTATCATGCAGGCACTGAAAGAAGCGCTAGTTTGGAACATAAACCAACGATTAGTAAAAGACTAGAGGAACAGATTGAGATCAAGTTGAGACTTCAGTGTTGATGTCAGTCTTTGGAACAACTTTTATTCCTTTAAAATACCAAATTGACCTGTCAAACACCATCATTACTCGATTTTTCCTCAGAATACGTTGGATTAATTACCCAGATTCTGTGAAAGTTTTCATACAAATCAAATACAAAACACTTTATCATTAGGTTGGTTGATTGGCTTGTTAAATCTAATTAACTAAGAAATAACAAAGGGATACGTTATCAGTCACTTGCCAAATTAAGCTGATTATAAATTGTTGATCATGATAAATGAAAAAAGTATAAATTATTTAATTAAATCATCATTAGCTGTATTCTGCTGCTGATTAAATATTCTCAGCTCCGTGCTACTTGTGAGAGTTCAGGGCTTGAAGCTCATGTTTGACTCACAACAAAATGAACTCACGATGCTGAATGAGAACGCCGGTCAGTTTACGGTTGTTGTTTTACTGCTCACCGTGTTCTGTTCTTCGCTGTGCTGTGGTTTAAACGCAGCGTCAGGTCTGTGCTGGGTCTGTACTGGGGCTGCAGTAGTTAGTATATAATATCAGCTCTGTGTGATGCGTTTAGGGACCACGATATTACTACTGAGAACACTGACTGACTGACTGTGCTGCAGGTACACAGTAGAAATGCTGCATTTGTTTTTACACTATAATACTCAATGACACGACATTTATATGTTCAGCGCTAATTTCTGTAATGATTAGATTTCTTAGTTGTGTTAGAACTATTCCTAACCCATCTTTCATACTATATTGGGACACATTGGAGCTAATCCTTTTCAAATCATCTTTGATTCACTTGAAACTGTTTTAACACGAACTCTGGATAAGATATCAGTGGAATTGTAGATTGGTATATGAAGACCTGTGCCTGTCGACCCACTTTCAGCAGATTTTTACACACATTGAAACTTGAGGCTATTTGTGGACGACATCGTCTCATGAACTGCGTCTCTATTTGAATCAGACTATCCAGCAATACTTTTGTTTTTGTGGCACAACTCTCCTCCTCGATCGGTTTAAGAAGTTTATTATTTGAATCAAATATCTCAGGAACTATAAAAGATAAAAACCTGAAGTTTCACTCATCAAGTCATTGAGTGCCAGAAAGTGAAAAACCTGCCCACATTAAAAACTAAATCTTTTTAAAATGATATTTGAGAACCATTTTGAAACTCTGGCCTGCTTGGGTCAGGCTGTCTAGGAAAGTTTTTGTTTTTGTGGTACGACTTGTCGTCCCTCCTCAATAAGTTAAGAAAGAAAAATAACTTTATTTTAATTTTCGTGACCAAGTATTTCATATTTACGGTATTCTGTGTGTTTTGTTTGGTGTGATTGTGTCGTAGAGCTACGTGTGGTTCACTGGTTCAGTTTTTTGTAAATGAGTTCAAAGGTGTGACTTTTCATGACAATTTTTCTTCAGATTTCAACTCCTGCATCATGAGAGATTGTTTGATCTTGTACAGATTTTTGAAAATAACAGAAAATAGAAAATAACAGTGAAGATTTCAGAGTTTTATCTTTAATAGTTCCTGAGATGTTGTTGTTCACACAGCCTCAAATTTGAATGCATGATAAAAATATGCTGAAAATGTGTTGACGGGCAGTTTTAAATGATTTTTGTCTTGGAAAGTATTTCATAGATGAAGCTAAAATGTCAAACATCTTTAGAAGTATTCATATTTTAATGCTATTCAAATTTCAGGCAAATCAGAGATGCTCGAGTTCTAATAGTTCTAATAATTTGATGTTTGAGATGGACATAGACAGAATGTTTACACATGTTGTATTAAATAACAGGTAACCATGTGAACAGTTCTGATTTTACGTTTTTCTAAAGTTCTATTTGTTAAATGACCTCATGGAGCTGCAGGTTCTCCACCAGATGGCGCTGTTCAGCTCACCTGAAGCCGGGACGTAACAGCGCCAGCCAAAGGTGGAGTAAAAGACCCAGATTCAATCCACACATCACTGCTGCTGCACGAGTACGACCTTCCACAGGACGCCGGAAGAGTGTTGTGTGGACCCAGTCTGAGTTACTTTGTTTGTTTTGGCCGTGCAGAGCCGTGAGGTGTTCGCTGAGCTGCAGGTTAACTGTCTGAACATGGTAACGAGCTGCAGCCCTCCAGAAATACACACTCCACCTGTAGAACTGTGGATCTCAAACAGAGCCTAAAAATCTGACCTATTTTAAAAGAAAAGCTATGAGTTTTCTGAAAGTCGAGCAGCTTTTGTTCTGTTTCGGATTCGCCATCTTTCAACTGGTCGTGTCACCACCAGACGACACACCTGCAGCTCCGTCAGCCACGTGTGTTCCTGAACTTTACCTGTATCGGTGCAGAGAACAGCGGGCCAGTGTAGCTACAGCACAAAGCAGTTATCGGTGGAATAACTATCACACACGACCTCTTAGACGTTTTCAAGCCTTCCGAGATGTTTTTGTGTAGAGCGAGGAGAAGCAGAGTTGATGTCTTACCTTCTGTGAAGGCTCAGTGTGGATGTTTTATATGCAGGTTTGGAGCTCAGTCTGTGCGACAGGACTGCTGGCTGTGGTGTGTGTTGAAGTGAGACCTCCAGTGTTTTCTTGTTGTGTTTGTTCTCTCCACTGCAGAGGAAACACTGGAGCAGAATATGTGAGCGGTGCGTCTCGAGTGTGCCAACGCTGTAAAGACGTTTTACAGGATCGTAGGGAACTTTACCTGAGAGTGAAAGAACCTCAGCGCGTTTAACAGTGTGTGTTCAGAAAAGATTGAGACAGAAATGTGTGAATTAATCCTAATATTTAAACCAGAATCTTACTAACAGAATAGTTTCTTCTTTTCACATCCACTAACAGGAACTTTTCCAGGTCACGTAGACGGATACAGGACCGTCTAGTTTATCTCTGATACTGGCCACGGGTTTAGTTTAAACGTTGGAACGATGAGCGGGACGAAACTTTGTGCATCAAACGGCTAATTTCCAATTTGTGCATCAATTTATGGGAGAAAATGTCTATTTGTTTAGAGGAACAGTACATTTATGGGTTAATTCAAACTGTAAAGATGCATTAAAGCTTCTGTTTTACTTGATTTTCCTGTAGATCAACTTTTCTCATGTAACAGTGTCCCTGCTGATGTAGCACACAGAGACGGGATTTACTCCTCTGACCTCACTGAATGGGCTTGTGGCACCTTTTCACATCAGTTAGACATGAAGTCATTTGAACTGACCTATAAGAATCTGGACTTTAATGGCTCAAACTTTGTTCACACACATCTGTGTTTGACGTGCTGAAGAATGAAGACTTGTCCCTGTCAGGAGGAACGATGCATCTATGAGTAAACACAAA